CGCTTGGGAACCCTGCAGCCCAATGGTATCAATGTGGATTTCACAAGTTTCAAAATCTCCCCTCCCCCCACCGCATCCCAAAACCAGTCCAACTCGTCCCTGCCTCCCTAACCTGTTCTTCCTCCCACCTATCCCCTCCTCCCACCCCAAGCCGCACCTCCATCTCCTACTGACCAACCTCATCCCGCCCCCTTGACCTGTCCGTCCTCCCTGGACTGACCTATCCCCTTCCTAACTCCCTACCTACACTCACCTTTCCTGGCCCCATCCCCGCCTCTTCGACCTGTTTGTTTCCTCTCCACCTATCCTCTCCTCTATCCCTCTTCTATCCACCTCCCACTCTCTCCCTATTTATTTCAAAACCCCCTTCCCCTCCCCCTTTTCTGATGAAGGGTCTAGGCCCGAAATGTCAGCCTCTCTGCTCCTATGATGCTGCTTGGCCTGCTGTGTTCATCCAGCCCTGCACCTTGTTGTCTCTCATTCATTGAGCATGTGGCCATTATTCAGATTTGAGCTTCTCACGTATCAGGTGATGGTGAAAAGTTAGTTTTATTGTAGTCCCAAACGAATATAGACTTTTGTCTGGTTAACAGTTTAACTTGAGGTTCACTATGCCTTAAGTGAATGGAAAATTGGAGAAGCAACCTTCATGATAATGCTAGCTATTATGAGAGTTAACCCGTGGCGTTGGTGTCTATCTGCATCGCAAACCAAACATCCAGCTAACTCAGCTAACCAACCTCTGCACCATCAAATGAGCTTAAACTTGTTTTTATCAGATGACCACGCTCTTCCAATTCCAGTAGGAGACAGTCTAGGCTGGTTTCTCTTTCCTATTTTAAGAGTGCTAAGATGACTTGTCGGCTTTGCCATTGCTGCAGTTGAAGTTAATTAACATTGTACAATTTGAGAATGTGCTCTATATACACACATTTCTATTCAATGCATATTTTTAGCACAGTTACAGTTATATTTGATCCTAAGGCTGAGCTTCCAACCATATTGTAGGCCAGCCAGAAGTGCGCACCTATGTTTTAGTCTCAGATGACAAGGTGCAGAGCTGGATGAACACAGCAGGCCAAGCAGCATCAAAGGAGCAGGAAAGCTGACGTTTCGGGCCTAGACCCTTCTTCAGAAATATGTTATAGTCTCCTTCTGTTTTAACAAAACCAGAAAGTATTCAGCAGATTTGATGATGTATGTGCAGAGAGAGAGATACAGTTGCCATTTTAGATAAATAGCCTACAGGAAGGTAATCAAACTAAATCATTAACTTGGTCTCTCTCTCTCTTCACGGATGCTGTCAGACTTGTGAGTATTTCCAGGATTTGTTTCAATTTTCCAGCAAATGCAGTATTTTGCTTTTGTACTTTGTTTGTACAGTTGTAGCTTATAGGTTTTGTAGTTGTTTTCAAAACCTTACTTTGTTTCAGCTGTTCTGGCCTCACAGTGCTCCAGGAACACACTTGCCTAAATCTGGGCCCTTAAGCATTCATAATTTTAGTTGCTTCACCATTATTCGTGCATCTTCAACCTCTACATCTCTTCTTTCTCTTCAAAGGCACTGTTTAAAATCTACTTCTTAACCAAGCTTTTGATCATCTGCCTTAATAACTCCCTAAGAACATTACAAAGTAAAACATACAAGCAGGAAAGCCATTCAGTCAGTCAAACCTACTCTACCATCTGCATGGTTGTGGCCAGTCTTCTAACTCAGCTATTTCTTTCTGCAAATTAATTTTGACTCCCTTAGTATTCAAAAATACTGTCCTTCCCCATTTTAAAGATACGAATATAACCACTACACTTTCATATCCTTTCTTTGTCTATTTCCTTTTTTTTAATGAAATAAAGCTTCACATTCAGTAATTAGAAATATTTCAAACTAAATCAATGTTTCTTTTAAACCAGAGATATAATTGCTTTACATTTATTTAAGCCTTAGTTTCTTTGCTATAAAGAGTTTATATGTGGGAAATGTTTTGCTTTCTTCTATGTTAAATAAGTAGTCTTGAGTAAACACGTTAGCTGACATGAAAGTGAAATGGTAAATTTAATCAGTATCACAATGATCCACAAAAAGGTTGCATAATTCAAGTATTCTGTTGCAATGCCATGTCCAGTGTTTCAAAACAAAACTGAAGAATCAGTTACGTCTCCCTTAACCTAATCAAAAGTTTATCCTTCAAATGACAGCTATCAGCAGTATTTACTTAATGCGATCAGTTTATAGAATAATGATATGTAGCCATATCACACGATTGGAAGCATTAAAATAAACACCTGCCAAAGCAGGCACATTGAACCCCACAATAGCTGATATAAGACATTGTCTTAAAACTAGAAATAATTCTTCTTCAAGGGTGAAAATACCTTTGAAATGGAATCTCTTT